CTGAGCCGAAGGCAGCCGCTTAACGACTGAGCCACCCAGGCGCCCCAATTTAAGACCTTTTATAAAGTGAAGTCCTAGCTCAGTTGTCCTCCTAGACACCCTTCCTCCCCAAGATGGGCCAAGTCTCTGTTTTCAGTTTTGACTAGGGAACTCCTTTGACTTAGAACATCCTGGCATTGGGATCACCTTGTGCAAAGGCAGAGAGACGGGGAACAGCTTGGGAAAGAGAATCCTGCATCTTCCTGGACTGGGAGTTTTTTCTCCGTTGCTTTTACGGGCAAGTTGTAATTAATGCTGTCTTCAAAAAATTGCGTGTGTTGTTTGTAGTGTGTATGCAGTCACACTCAGAGGAAATGTGGGGTACTGAAGAAAACAATAGGATCTGAGTCTGCAAACTTGTGTGTGAGGTCTTGCTCTACGAAGTACATAAGACTTGCTTGCTCATCTGTGCTTGGGGAGACCTCTTATTGACCTCATAGGGCTGCTGAGAGGGCAAATGAAATGATGGTACAAACCCACTTTATAAACCATAAATAGCTATAAAAATGTGAGCCATTATTATTTTCCAAGTTCCTCTTTGTTCCTGCCTACTTTTCCAATTTGAAAAGGTCAGTTTAAATTCTAAAGCAGACAGCCAACAATTTACAAGTGGATTAACTTCCCCAAGTTCACTGTTGGAACTCTGAAACACTTGGAAACAAGGCTGTAAATGGCAGTTAAGTTCCCAGGCCAGCCCATTAATACTTTTAAAAACATTATATTTCATTTGAGAGAATAAAATAATATAAAACATATCAATTGTAAAGACAGATGGAGGCTTTGGTAGATTTTTAAAAGAAATTTCAGAAACTTTTAAGGACTTTGGAGGTTCATCAGAGAATTGGAACAGAAAAGTCAAAAGGGCTAAGGAGAATTTCTATGGATCTGTGGAATAATTTATGGAGTGGGATTAACTGAGCTGTGGACCGGGGAAAATGGATAAGTGGGAGAACACAGTCTGTGCACAGTTCTGCTAAGCATTAACAAAAAGATGTGGCTGTGGAGGCTAGTGGTTCTGGTTTAGATCATTACTCATAATGCCCACTCGGTGGTACTGTTGACTAAGTTGACTACAGCTTGGTTGCCGGCAGGATCACTGAATGAGAAACCCTGTTTGTGGGGCGCCTCGGTGGCTCAGTCGGTTGAGCGTCTGCCTTCGGCTCAGGTCATGATCCCAGGGTCCTGGGATCGAGCCCCACGTCGGGCTCCTTCCTCGGCGGGGGGCCTGCTTCTCCCTCTCCCTCTGCTTGACACTCCACCTGCTTGTGCTCTCCCTCTCTCTATCTCTATCAAATAAATAAATAAAATCTTTAAAAAAAAAAGAAACCCTGTTTGTGGGCTCTCGGTGGAGGAATAACTATATATATATCTTTTCTGTCCTTTTCTTTAACGGGGTCTATCGTCACCATAGAAACAACACCACGTTTCATCAGTTCCCTTAGGAATATGTGTCGCATTCTGTGCAAGTTCCTATAGGGAGAACTAACACGAAGTAGGAATGGGCTCTGTCCTCAAGGACTCCACAGTCTAGTAGAGGAGATAAATGTGTACAAAATAGATGAGTTACAAATTATTATGTGAAAAGTACTAGAGGAGAGATAAAGTGCTCTTAGAGTTCATCAAGACAAGGCAAGAATTTCTTGCCAATCACAGAGACAGTACAGTGACATTTGGGGGAGCCCACCATGGGGAGAGTACATGGCAGGCAGAGCAAACAGTGGGAACAGAGCCACAGAGATGGGAGACCGCAGGACGTGCCTGCAAAGCCGTTTGGTTTGGTGCCATTGTGGGGTGTCGGGTGGTAAGCACTGGTGAAGGACTGGGATGGAGGTTGTGGATGCCCTGTTTCCTCCTTCCCTTGCCATGTCTCTGCATGAGTGCGACCCTCACAGAAGATTTTTTTTTTTTTGGCTCTGTACTAGGTTTGTCTGGTGCTGTCTAAAGAGTTCTGTGGGGAGAGCTCCAGCTCTGTAAAAAGATATCAAATTTGATCCCGGTGAACAATACCAGGAAGAAAGCTTTCAACTCCCTCGTGCTCCCAGTCTTGTGAAAACAAATGATACTCCCCAGTCTCATTCTCAGCTTATCAGGTGGAGCTGGGAAGCCCTGGGAAAGAAAAATTTGGAGGCTAAAGATTCTGTGTCCCAGTGAAAGAAACATCCTCTCGCCTTCTACCTTGTCACTTTGCCTCTAGGTCCGTTTGCACCATGGCCACCAAAGTGAACATTCCACGACCCCAATCAGATTCCCCATAAAAATATGTGATGGCTCCCCTCTGCCCTCAGTGTAGAGTCCAAGTTCCTTATTATGGTGTGTGGGGTGCCTTCTTCACTGACCCCCTTCCTCAGCACAGACAAGCAGCTCAGGGGACCCTGGGAAGAGTCAGAGAACCCACAGATCAGGCGTTCAGACCCGGGTTCTTGAACTGACTCTGTTGCTCTGTGCATCTCAGTTCTTTGGTTGGGTCGTCAATGTTCAATTTCCTACTTGCTTCTCTCCTTGCCTCTTCCTGGCCCCCCAGATTGCAAGCAGTGTGAGGCTGGGTGCTGTGTCTTACTCTGCTCTAGCTCCTACAGCCTAGTGCAGTGCCTGGCACCCGGTGAGCGGACATAAGTACTGTGGAGTGAGTCCGTGAGTAATTGCTCAAGGGCTCCTGAGGCTTCTTCTAATGCATGTGTCCTGGAGGGAGCCGTTTATCCTCTGGGAGTGTTTGCTTGCTCACTTATTTGCAGGGAGAAATGAAATTGCAGCGAGGTGTTCTGCAAGCACTATGTCTCTGCGTCCCAGCCTTCCTGCATGCTGCTGGGGGCAGGCAGCCCAGCCCACTGGGCTTCTCCCCAGCTCAGGGCCCCTCTCCCAAGCTCCTTTGTGCAGAGTGAGCTGCAGAGCCCCCTGCTCTAGTGGCTGCCCAGGGCTGGTGGCCCGATGAAAACTTCTCTTGTTCCACTCGGCACAATGTCGCCATTATGGCCCCTACCCAGGGAAATGACACACGTCTGCTGGTCCACCTCAGGCCCCGGAAAGCAGATAGAGATCTGGGTGGTGGCTGCTGGGAGAAAGAGAAAGAGTTTCATGGCTGAAAACCCCTCCTTTGGTTGAACCTTCGGGTTTCTGTTCCAGGGCATGGGGCTCCTACCTGTACCCAGGCCACCGGGCTCAGCTTCAGTGGTGAATGGAGCCCAGTGCGCTGGTTGTGTCTGGAGGAAAAGAGCTTTTGTTTTTATGCCCAAAGGCTGCAGGGGCTACCTACCTCTCTTCTGAAAGGCTGCGTACTGTGCCCCATCTTCACCTCCGTGCTGCAGGATGAGACCAGTCTGCAGCAGTCCAAAGGGAATTTCTGAATCCTGGAACCACAAAAACTTGAGAGCGGAGAGGAGCTGGAGAGGTTAGCCGGGATGGTCTCTCCACTGGTCAGGTAAGGAAACTACAGCCCAAAGCGCACAGGGCTAAGAGGCAGGGCCAGGAGTGGTGTCCACGACTCCAGACTTGACGTCGCCGGAGCCACACTCCTGCCCCCATGACTCATTCTCTGCCACTTGTGGGACACACTGGGGGAAGAGCAAGATCAAAGGCATGATCTTCAACCTCTCTGAGCCCTCGATGACTCATCTAAAAATCATCTAAACATCAGGGGCTAACAACAGCCCCCTGACACGGGGCTTGTGAGGCTTCAATGCGACTGTGTATGTAGCGTGCTTGGGTGCCTGGCCCGGCACAGGGGAAGCGTTCTACAAATTTAGCTCGCGCTCTCTTCAGGGAGGTAGTTGTTGTATGGTGGCCAAATTCATGGGCTTTGGGGTGAGACACCCCTGAGTTCAGGTTCAGGCTCTGCTATGTATAGCTGTGAAACCTTAAACGAATTACTTATCGAGAGCTCAATGTCCTCATCTGTAACAGGAGGGTAAAAGAAGTACCTAGAGGATTAAATGAGATATGTCAGGTGCTCAATCCAGTGCCTGACGCATTGTCAGAGTGTTAGTTATTATCGCAATCAGTATGGGTTTCCTCTGCAGAGGTGGTCAGATGCTGGTGGAAATGTTAAGGGATACTGAAATCGCAGCCACACACCTAGGCTGCCCCCTGCAGGCGGGCTTATGTAAATCAAACCGTTGGAAATGTGATAGATTCTGCCAGCTTCTTTGCCTTCCCTGCAAGAACACCTCATATTCTTAAATAGGAGGCTGACAGAGCTTCCAGCTACTCTTACCCACAGGGTCTGTCAAGGGGTGGAATTTTGTGTGTATATTTTAAAACAGCTAAATAGTGCTGCTATTTTGTCAGAAGGACAAATTGCGCAGGACCATTTCTCCTGGTCCAGGTGGGTAAGACCCTGTCTGTGAGTTAGACAGACAATACATTCTTTATCCACAAGAAGGCATAGGAGACTTCACTTGATACTCCCCTGTTAAGGTTAATTTTCTCTAGGAGCAGGCATATTGGTCACGGCTCCTTTGGTGGCAAGTGACAGAATCAAAACTCAAACCAGCTTAAACCAAAAAAGGAATTCATTCGCTCAGAGATGACTGGGGAGCTGAAGGGAATGAGGCTGGCAAACAGAGCAGTCACCGCTTTGTCTCCATCTCCTGACTCTGCCTTCCTGTGCTTAGTCTTCATCTTCAGGTGGTCCCTTCCAGCCTGTGGGGAAGAAGTTCCGGCCACTGAAGGCCTGCTGGTATTTGCCGCTGAGGGTCTGCTGGTCTTTGTAGGTGGAGAGTCCCTGGGAGGCGTGGGGGTGGGGGGGTGTGGAGAAAGTCATTCCTCTTTTCCTGCAGTTCCAGCACTGGCCAGAGGCGGCACTGGTAGGCTGGGTAAACCACCAGATCGAGGCATGTGGGAGATGCTGAACGGTCAAAGGCACACAGGACACCTTCCCTGCAGCCAGGTACTGAGCCTGAGGTACATCATTCCGTCCCTACCACCCTGTGAAGTAAGTGCTGTCATTCCTATTTTGCAAGCTAATTTCACATGGTATATTAGTGTGCTAGGGCTGTCCAAACAAAATCCCACGGACGGGGGCGGGGGAGGGGATGGGGGCTTAAACAATGGAAATTTATTTTCTCACAGCCCTGGAGGCTGGAAGTCCAAGCTCAAGGTGCCAACAGAGTTGGTGTCCTCGGAGGCCACCCTCCTGCTGCGTCTTCACATGGGCTTTCCTCTGTCACTTGGTGTCTCTGTGTGTCCCAGTCTCCTCTTCTTATAGGGGTACCAGGCTAATTGGAGTAGGGCCCACCTGAATGGGGAATGCACATCTCCTCCCCTCCCACTTCCGTCAGACAGAGCAATGCTTCCCATAGTGTGGAATTCAGACTACTGGTGGAAATGTAGATGGATTTAGATGTTACCCAGACCACCATATTTGAAGAGTTACCAGTTTATTTGAATTTGTATTAAAAGCCTATCACTGGTCCTTATGAATCCATACTTTCCCTGATGTTGCTTTAAAATAGAAATGTCATGGGGAGTCTGGGTGGCTCAGTCGTTAAGCGTCTGCCTTCGGCTCAGGTCGTGATCCCAGGGTCCTGGGATCAAGCCCCGCGTCGGGGTCCCTGCTCAGCGGGAAGCCTGCTTCTCCCTCTCCCACTCCCCCTGCTTGTGTTCCCTCTCTCGCTCTGTCTCTCTCTGTCAAATAAATAAAATCTTAAAAAAAAAAAAAAGAAATGTCAGGTATGAGTCAATTGAGAGAAAAATACCAGGTAAATAGCATCATGTAAATAAGGAATCTGATGAAAATTGAGAAGGTTGTGTTTGAGTGACTGAAATTTGGGAAACACTTCTGGTCATGGGCATAGAAGTCACCTTACTTTTGACTCGATTCATCTGCACACTTGGCCCCAATTTGCCCCGAGGACTAACCGTGTGTGTGAGTGTGAGTGTGTGTGTGTGTGTGTGTGGGACTGCAGGCCTTTGGTTTCTCCCGCCTATGCTCCTGTACGAGTCATTTTGGACCAGGCTGGGTGAAAAGGCAAGGGGATCCTGGGTGGTAATGAGAGGCTGGCCCTCGTCTTCATAGCTTCGGGATTTTATTTATTGAGAGTCTCCCTCCAGTGCTCTTGAGTGGCTTGACTGCAGCTCATGGCTGTGTATATAAGTAGGTGTTTATCATTGTGTAGGCAAGATTTTTGAGCACCTTGAAGTCTGATGTGAAATGAAGCATTTAAAACTTAATTCCACATGGGGTATTAACAGAGTTGGCATAGTTCTGTGGAGTTAATTACTATGAATTTTAGCAGTGCTTTCCCCTCCTTGAATTTCAAGCCCTCCTTCTCCATGTTTGGCTCTTCGGCAGCCAGCTGCGGCTGCCGACACCTTCCACAGCTTGTCCCCCATTTCTGCTCCAGGGGCCTGGTGAGGGTGACGGGCCCCAGTGCAGGCGAGCTGGCGGCTTGTCCTGCTCTGCTCAGCTGCTCCGTGGGCCTGTTTCTGCAGCTGCAAAATGCGGCCATTGTATTGACTTTAAGCTCTCACATTCTGTGATTTCTGTGCTCCCTCCCCCTTATGTTCTGCTTTATTTATTTATTTATTTTTAAGATTTTATTTATTCATTTGACAGGGAGAGACACAGCGAGAGAAGAAACACAAGCAGGGGGAACGGGAAAGAGAGAAGCAGGCTTCCCGCCGAGCAGGGAGCCCGATGCAGGGCTCGATCCCAGGACGCCGGGACCATGACCTGAGCCGAAGGCAGACGCTTAACGACTGAGCCGCCCAGGCGCCCCTATGTTCTGCTTTATTAACGTAAGGTTGCCCCCCAGTGTTCAAAAAGGTCATGTGCATGGAGAAAAGTTTCCCTTCTCCAACTTCGGTGGCGTTTGTTCCTAAAAGGAAGATGGTTTAGAGCAGCACTTCCCTAACCTCACTATGTGTGTGAATCACCCGGCAGTCTTCTTAAAATACAGATGTGGATTGAGTCGGCCAGGGGTGCGGCATGGGATGCGGCGTATCTCACAAGCTCCCAAGGTGACTCCAGTGCTGCTGGTTGGGGACCACACTCCAAGGAACAAGGCCCAGAGCGATTTTCCCTGCTTCTAGTAGGTTAGCAACCACAGCGCAATCCAGACAATGTCCACAAAGCCTGAATGAATGAGAGGCATTCAGTCTCCCTGCATGTTCTGGACCCTGCCTGCCTTTCTCCTTCTCCTTCTTTTTAGAGTAGGCTCCATGCCCAGTGTGGAGCCCAATGCAGGGCTTGCACTCATGACCCTGAGATCAAGATCAAGACCTGAGCTGAGATCAAGAGTTGGATGCTTAACCATCTGAGCCACCCAGGCACCCCCCACCCCTTCTAATCTCATTCTCCCCTTCACTCACTCTTCTCTGTCTTCACTGGAACATTCAGTTCCCCAAATACACTGAACTCTCACCAACCACGGTGCCTTTGCACATGCTGTCTCTGTGCTTAGAGAGCTCCCACCCCTACTTTTCCTTTGCGTACTTCGTTTTCATCCTTCAGTGAGTATGTGAAGCGAGCTCCTTTCTGCTCCTCTCTCTGGTACTCCATTTGTTGTCTGTGCAGCAGTTATCTTTGTGTGTCATCTCTTTTCCTGTTACTTACAGTCTGTTCCCTCCTCTAGACCAGAGCTACGTGAGAGCTCACACTGCCTTACTCACTGTTGAATCTTCAGTGCTCCTGCCTCCCCCCAGATGCTCAGTATTTCCTGGGTGTGTGTGTGTAGGCAGGGAGCAAGGGAGCATTCTTTAGTGTCCTTTTGCACATTTGAGCCACCTGTCTGGAGGGGCCATGGTGGGGATAATTAGAAGAATCATCTGATGAGAGGTCAGGAAAGGAGATACTTTTAAGCCACATTTCATCTTCAGAGATGTGAGAAGTGAGATAAGTGTTTATCTTAGGATACAAATAGGAAATACAGTAGAAATAGAGTAAGTCTAACATTTCTTAGAGTTATGTCAAATTCATTTATGAAATGTTGGATTAAACAAAGGTACTACAGGGCTTTGTGGGATTTTGGTAATGTACACTGTGGGTCTCTAAGGGGAGGGACAGTGGCAGGGACACTGTGATTCACTTATCCAGAGGCCCTTCCTTGTCTGCCTGTCTCTTTTCTTTCCCAGCACAGCACTTGCCACCCACTATCGAGGCTCAAAATGCCAAATACTCAACAACCCAGCCTTCTGTGCAGCAAGGGCATGAACCTGTTCCCTAGTTCTGCCAGTGGGACCTGAGAAGTCTACTGAGGACTTCTGGGATAGTTTTCTGATCAAAAGAGACACATAAAGGGAAATTTCTTTCCTGTTTTTTGATGTGGTGGTATGAAGACACGATACCTGGAGCCACAGCAGCCTTTTGTAAACATGAGGGGTCACATCTCGGGACAAAAGCCACTGTACTGAGGATGGTGGAGTGGAGAGATGTAGAGAACCTGGGCCCCTGATGGCATCATCGAAGTGTTGAACTGATTAGCCCCGCACTTGGATTTCCAGTTGTGCAGGACAATATGGACTCTCATTGTTTAAGTCACTTTTAGGAAGGCGCTCCTTACTTGCAGCTGAAAGCATCCTGACAGCTAAGAGGGGCTAACCTGGTCTCTCTAAGCCCAAACAGGCTGGAATTGGCTTCTGGCTCCATCACTGTAATTATAAGTCCTCTTGAAAGCTGTTTTCTCATCTGTGAGTTATAAATAATTATTCTTATTTCCTCCCTCTTGGGTTGTTACAGAGGCTGACATGACATGATGGGTGTAAAGTCTTCAGTGTAGACCTCAGTACACTGTCAGTACTTAATAATGAACTATTGTTATTATTGTTAGTTTTTGGATCACGGAACCATAGTTGTTGGAATATCCTCCACCATCTTGCAGAACCCCATTCTGCAGGACACAATCTGGGTGATGCTTACCTTGTCAAATTTTCTTAATTTACAGAAGGAGAAACTGAGGCCAAGAGAGAGCTGCTCTCTAGACTCTTTTATTTTGGAAAATGTGCACAGTTCAGCCTCTTCCCATATCACGCATTTCCACTCACATCAGAAACAACAGAAGGACACGGGTCTGGGTTGAAATTATGTGCTTTTATGGGAAACAAAAATACCCAACAACAATAACAAAAGCCCTTCATCTTGCCAAGTTCTCAACCAGTGAAAAAGAGGCAGTTTTGATGATTGCGTCTGGCTGGGGACATTTCTAAGGGGTCAGGACAGTTGAAAGACACTGGCCAAAAAGAGAGTTGCAGAGAGGGTTGATGTTTTAAATGAGAGTATATTAGACCTCCTTCTGGCTCCTCATCCTATCACCCTTTCAAGTTACAGTCTCCTTTCAGTTTACAAAGATCCTTCCTGAACTTTGCTCAAATGCAATCTCTTCCAGAAAGTGTTCCTTGGTCTGCACCAACTTGCATCTGCTTTCTCAGTAATTTCACAAACACGTTCTCATGCCACCTCCCATCACTTCCTGCCTTGCATCCATCATGTGTGAGTCCATGCCTGACAACACCCAGGGTTAGCAGGCATGCCCCCCAGCCCAGATCCTGTGTTGATCATCTCAGTGTCCCCATCTCCCTCCCCCATTCAGTGCTCAGGATACAGCAGGTGCTCAGCATCGGCAGGTGCTCAGTGAGGGTTTGCTGGATTGGAATCTGTTCTCTATTTGCCACGTTACATCACCAGCCTCTTGAGAGTCCTAATGGTTATTTCCATATTTCCACTTCTTCATCTTCCCTCTATGACCTTAAAATGATCTACATCAAGGCATCTCCAAGAAGGAACAGACCCCACCAAACATCACCAACTAGGGGTCAAAGGTTTGGGGAAGGGAGGAGAGAAGTTAACGTCAAGCTTTCATCCCTGTTCAAGAAGGCAAGAGGGCAGGAAAGCAGCCACCGGGGAAAACCAGGGTGATCATGAGCAGTGTTGGCCACTGCTTCATTTTGGAATTCCATAAGCAGCCATTCTTCCAAAGGTTTCCCCTATGAAACACGGCCAACTTTGAAGTGGGAGCTGATGACTGGTGGGGGACTGGTTCAGTTGCCCTTCTAGCTCAGGGACCAGCGGGCATAGACCAGGAAGCTTTCTTTGGGACGTGGCCTGTATTATGTTTAGAGGGGTGTTAGAGGTTGTCTGTCTAGTTGTTCTGTTGGAACTATGATGGGAACGTTAGCCCTGTGGTGTGTTGAGTTGTCAGGCACATAGATCGTAGTAAGGCTGAAGAATACGGGCTGTAATAATGGGCCTCTCCTCCAAAGTGGGGCGGAAGGGTCAGGAGGTGCTGGGAGCAGTGAGGGCGAGCGGAGGGTTGCAAGAGGTCCTGCAGCTCCAGTGCTAACAGGTGCCCTGCTCTGGCCCCTGCTGCCAGCTCCCATGCCTTCCCTTGTCTCCATGTCGGGGCCAGGCAAAGGGGCCAGTTGGAAGTGGTGGGGGGAAGGGAAGTGCCTTGTCTTCTCCTACCATGAGACTTGGACAAGGGAGAGGTTAGGATCCAGGGCAGAAGGAGGAGGACTGAGGAGCTTCAGAGAGGCCAAGGCCCTAGCCACTTCTGTGTGCTGCTGTATTGAGTAGATCCGAGGCCCCCACGGCGAAGTGCATCACCCCCCAGAGAGCACTGAACTCCTAACTGCGGGAGATGAGAAAATTTTTCACGGGCTCTCAAAGGTGCTCAGTGACTTTGGGAGATCGCTGTGGATCCTCCCGTGTGAGGGCCCCTCTGGGGCCAGTAAGGTGTGAAAACTGCATGGTCAGCATCCACCCTGGAGACTGGGGAAAGAGCCGAGAAGCAGAGAGAAGAGAGACTTCTTCAGGCACCTCCTTTAGGAAAGAGAGTTGGACCTTGGGGGACTCAGGTTAGGACAGATGTTTCAGTATAAAAAGGATCCCCAGTAAAAGGATGGGAGTCTCCTCAAATCCCTTCCCAAACCCCAGAGCACTTAGAAAAGATAAAGTAAGGAGCATAAAAATATCTCGATGACGTGGGCTTGCCTGACAGTACAGAAAAGCAAGTCTCATGGCAGGCAGTGTGTCCTGTTACACAAGAGAGGATTATACCGAGCTTCAGGATAGAGATTTTACATATATCTTTATATAAATGCATATATATTTATAGAGCCCCTGCCTAGAACAGCCGGGCCTGCTTCTTCAGTTCGTTCCTCTTCCAGAGGGCCAGCCGGTCAAACTCGGAGATGGTCATGCCGAAGACCTGGTAGAACTCCTCCTGGGACAGGTGGCGCTGAAAAGAGGTGGGAGGGGACAGAGAGGGAACAGCCTGAGGACGACAGGTGGAGGCTGGGGGCAGGTGCGGGCAGAAGCGGACCCTGTGTGTTTCCTCTGGGTGTGCCGTGCGCGGCACAGCGTCTGACCTACAGAGGTGTGGGATGAGAAGCTGTGGAATGCAAGACTGTGTGCGTGAATGATTCCTGGAAGGGGCCTCCGTAGCTGCTCTGCAGAGGCCACCCCTGCCCAAGACTCAGGTGGGGCTTCTGCTTCACCCAAGTGCCTCGCTGTGCAACGTGGCTGACCTCACCTGTCTGCATCCTGCTCCTTGCATTCTGTGCCCCGGAGTGTGTATGAATTAATACGATTCTTCCTAACTTTGGGAGTAAAAGGGGGGCATAGCCAAGATTTTAGGGTGTACTTCCTCTTATTAGTGTTTTTACAAACGAGCTGGAAGGCTATTCCTCAGGCCATTCAATGAAAAAAACTGCTGTTCATATTTCTCCACCCACTGAAATGTCATTTCGTTTTTTTCTTACACGAAAACAAATATGCCATATAATGAAACATGGTTCTGCATTCCTTGACAGGTTTTCTCCCTCCTTTCTGCCTGCCCTCCCTCCTGCCCTTCCAAACAGCCTTGAAAGTTGATACATTGTCAAAAGCTTTCAGAGTTAGAAAGATATGGCACCTGAAATGTGGCAAAATGTTAACAATTTGTGCATTTAGGTGAATGGTAGAAGGATGTTCATTTTACTCTTCTTGCAACTTCTCTGGCGGTCTGAAATTTTTCAAAATAAAAATTTAAATTATGTTTGAAAGGAGATTTTTGGGTATATATCCTCCCTGAAAACCTCCTGGAATCACTGAGATGACCTGTTGGTAGCAATCATGTTAGCCCACTGAATATTGAAGGAGATTCACTGAGAATTATGTATACAGCCACATGGTGATTAGCCCATTCTCTGCCTACAGCCTACATGAACTAATATTTTGGCCACATTTCCAGATCTTGAAGCAAAGGTAACTTTGATACTTTTGATAGATATCATTGGTTGCTGGTGGCTTTGAGCTGGTTTTCTAATACCAGGAATTCCTTGCATTGCATTTCTGTCATGCCCATGACTATATATATGGTCGCCCCCATTTTCTCACTTAATCCTTCCAACCCCTCTGAAAACCAGACATTATTTCTTTCTAATTAAAAGATGAGAAAACCAGAAGTCAAAGAGTTAAAATGACTAACTTGACCAAGAGGGAGGGAGGGAGGGGAGCTGGGTAAGTAGCAGAGTTGAGACCAAAGGCCAGGCCTTCTGCTTGCAAACACAGTGCACTCTTGCTGCCCCCTTGGCCAATCCCATTAAACATTCATAAATAAGTCTTTCTATTATGAAAAATTGCAAAAATACTCAAAGGGGAGAAAATAGCACAATGTACACCCAGGCCCATTACCTAGCTTCAATAGTTATCAAGAGTTTGTCACATTTGCTTCACCTATTGTGTTTTACTGAAGTATTTTAAAGCACACATTTAGACATCGAATCGATTCCTGCCTCTTTACTGCACCATCATCTCCCCCAGAGATAGCAAAACATACTGGATATTTTCTTAGGTAACCATGAGGGCATGAGCAAACCTAAAAACAATTGACAGTACTTCCTCCCAATTGCCCAATACCTGCCCATAATAAAATTCCCCTAATTGTCTCAAAAATATCTTTTTACAGCTTGGCTGTTTGAATAAGGCTTCAAACAGCATCCACATATCACATTTGGTTATTGGACGCTTTCAGTCTCTCCAGGCCAGACAGTGCCTTCTTTTGTCCATGCTGTCTACTTATCGATATTTGTCTCACTGGCACTCAAGCGAGGGCTGAGAAATGCTGTGGACACGGGGGAGTTCTCTTCTCAGCTCTCCATGGTAAAGACTGAGGGGGACTGTCAGTTAGTCTCATCTGTTCTTTTTTTGTTGCAGGGTGACGGTTACTATTGATTCTCTAGCCCGTTTTCTCTGCTGTGCCCAAAAATCTTTTTCATGAGTTTCGACGCCAAGGAATGGCTGACTCAACTTGCGTCCAGGGTCCACTGTAGAACACGCTGGAGGAGACTGAGGCTCCCGGCTCTCCCTCTGTGAAGGACCAGCTGGAGCCTCCTCTCTCTTGCGAGTTCTCAGAGCCCCTAATGTCGGCGTTTTCCCTATGACTCTCTCCACAGACTTGAAAGCATGAAGGTGAAGTGCATGGGCTTTAGAGCCAGGCAGACATAGGTGTGTGACCTTGGACAAGTTACTTCACTCCACTGAGCCTCGATTTCCTCTTCTGGAAAGTGGGAGCATGCTAGCACCTAGCTCCTGGATACAGTGAGGGTGAATGTGATAGTGCAGGTCATGGACAGCGGCCCGCACGTGGGAAGCACTCAGCTGCTGGTCGCTCTCACTCCTGCAATGATCTCTTCATGTGTCTGTCACATGGGGGAGTCTGGTCCTCGTTGCCTTTGATTCCATTTCCTCCTCATCCTCTTCCCTGTGCTCATGTGACGCAGCCACACTCACCACTTGCTGTCCTCACCTGGGTTAGGGCCTTTGCCGTGGCTGTTCCCTCTGCCTGGGATGCTCTTCCTCCTTGTATAAGCATGGCTAACTCCCTCTCCTATTTTGAGTTTTTGTTCGCATGTCAGGTACTCAGTGAGATCTGCTCTGACTACTTGGTTTAACACTGCCGCTTACCTCTCCCTCTAACCCCCAATTTTCTGCTCTCCTTTTACTTCTTCCCTCAGCCCTATTCATTTCCCATGTTCTAGATCATTTATTTATTGTGTCATTTGGGGTCTGTCTCCTCAAGTGAGAATGCCAGCTCCAAGAGGGCAGGAGTTCCTGTTTTGTTCACTGATATAGTGCAAGCACCTAGAACAGGACCTAGTCTCTATAATAGACTTCCAATAAATATCTTTTGGGTGAATGACAATCTACACTCTGAGCTCCTTGAGGAGCTCTTCAGTCCCCTCCTTGAACTGGTGCAGGGGGTTGGGCAATGTTTGTAGCCCTGCGGTCTCGGCTCAGGCTCCATGGTAGACATCCCTGGGAGCCTCTGAAAAATACCAGTGCCTGAGCTCCTTCCCCAGACTGAGATTTAATTGGTCTAGGCTGGGGTGCAGTATCAGTATTTTTAAGAAACTTCTGATTCTTAGGGCAGGTTACGCTTCCCTAGTGGGAGCTTCTGGGTGTCCTGGAGGATATAAAAGGGCAATTGGTCCTCCAGGATGAACCAGGTTTCCATCCCTTCATGCCGGTTCCACTGAGCTGCCCTGGGAGCTGTCCCCTTCAGCACCGGCCGCTACTCGCTGCTAGACCGTAAAGGAGGCCCTTGTTATAAATGTGGGGATAATCACCCGCTTGCTAGGCTGCTAGCCCAGCCTGCTAGAGCTGGAGGGACTCACAGAGCCTCCTGGCTTGCTCACATTCCCCTCCCTCTGCCCCAACCCTTTATTCTGGGCAAATTCCCAGCAGCCAGGTGAACGGTGGTCGATACGCTCATCCCAAGGGGTGCTGAGCCTCCTCTCTTAGAAACCTGCATTCGACTCGACAAACATTTTCCAATACTTCCCCTGGTTCAGGCCTCATGGTAGAGGACTGACCATTTCTGTCAGACAGAGGAAATGGATAGCTGGGTGCTCTGATACAAAGGAAGGGGGAGAGGTGCTTGATCTACAGTCTGGACACAGGGCTGGGAGAGGCTGGAGGAGGGGTGAGGGACACATCCTGGGAAGGTCTGGGGGGCCCTGGGACACAGGCATCACTCCAGGGAGGCCCTAAGGCGTGAGGAGGCTGGCAAGATGGGAAGGGCATTCTAAGAGAGGGAGAGGCAGGGAGAAGCACCGTAGAAAGGGCAGAGTGTGCTCCAGGATCGGGGGCCCGGGGACTGGAACTCCAGGCCAAGTGGAGTGGACTGCTGGAAAGCCCAATGCTGTGCTCAGCCCTGCCTCTGCTTTACTGATGCTGTCCCGCTCATCATGATGCTCTCTTTCCCCTCTCCACCCATCTAAACCTGCTCCTTTGAAGTCTGTGCACCCAGGACAGCGCCAGACTCCGTGCCAAGGCCTCTGTGGGTAGTGCCTCATTCGCTTCCGTTGGCACCTTGAAGGAAACACAATTGCCCCACTCCACGGAGGAAAAAACTAAGGTTTGGAGAGGTTGTTCCTTGGCCAAGATGGCTGTCTAGGGACGGCAGGACCGGGGCTGGACCTGGAGTCTGATGGGAGACCACCTTATGCTTTTACCTTCTACACAGTGCTGACTCCCCCGTGCTCCCCACGAGGGGCACCAGTTTTCTGTACCATCCCGCAGAAAACCAGTGCTGTGTTTCTTCTTATCAACCAGACTGCAGGCCCCTGCCGGCAGGGACCAAATCTAGCTCTTGTCTTAAGTCTACAAAAGCATCAGGTGGGGACACGCCGTAGCTGTGCACCACAGATGCTAACTGAATTGAGAAGGCAGCACAGCAATGTTTAGTCTTAGGCTAAAGAAACCAGGTTGGCGTCTCCGCTTTTCCCACAAGGATGTGACCTTAAAGCTCTTCATTCTACCTGCCCTCCCGAGCTGGGTTACATCAGGCAACTTCTGGAACCTCTTCAAACCCAAAAGCTCCTGCTCAGTTTTCTAGACTCACCTCTAAACGTGTCCGGTCCACATCCTTGGGCAGCCGATTTCTTCCTCTTGTGGTCACCAGCAGCAGCTCATAAGGGTAGATCTGAGGAGAGAGGATGGGGTGGGGGTGAGGCACCAGGCTGGCTGAAGGTGGTGGGCTTGTCCCTCCAGCCACATTTTGTGTCTGGGCACCTCCTCTCCCCAGACAGGGCCAGAGATGAAAGTCTGGAGGAAGGGCTGCGTCTATTCTCCTTGGGGGTGCCTGGAGGCCTCAAAGTACCTTCTCCCCAAAGGCAAAACCCGAGTCCCCTAATACTGCTAGGAATGAGCTTGGTGGCATTTGACATTAATGTGGCATAAGGCCTCCTAATTGTAAATGTCTAATGTCTGGTGATTGGCAAGCCTCCAGAAAGTCTCTGAGTCCCACAGGGAATTGTCTGATTTTAGTGGGCAAGAGACATAGGGCAGAATTCAGGGAAAGGAGGCCAAGGAGGGACTGGAAATGCTGGTCTGAAGAGGACCCTTGATGTTATTTATTTGATGGTCCATTTCCTGTGTAGATAGTGCTGTCATCTTCCTGCTGGGTCCCAATGTAGCAGCATCCGGGGTCTCAGAGACCCCCAGAGTCTCTGTGTCTCCTTTACCTTGTACTCTGTGGAGAGACAAGAGAGACACACAAAATGGAAATACATTGGTTTTTGCTTTGCACCACTATACTAGCCTCTGTCTTAGACACTCTGTCCTTGTCGAATTCACCCCGAATCAAGGCTGGTACAAGCACAATGGATGGCTGGAGATAGGGGTTGGGCTGACCCAGAGATAGGGTCTTAGACGAAGAATGACTTTCGTGATAATTAGAATAGTAATAAGAAGAATCTGAGATTGTGAAGCACTTGGGCAAGATCCTCCATCCTCCAGAGGAATACCCGAGTGTTTTGTTTTTTTTTTTTATGTTATGTTAATCACCAGGCTTGTCCTCCTGCCTGAGCCGGCTTGTACGAGCTGGTGGAGGCGAGCAGGAGAGCATCACTGGCAGAGAGCATGAAGCTCATGGAACGTGTGCTGGGAACAATGTGCATTTGGCTCTCTGAGTGTTTCCCTCCACCCAGGGCTGGCAGGCAACTCTAGCTCAGCAGTACGACCCTGCAATGGCTCTGGGAACCCAGATGGGACAGATGGCCTGGAGATCACCCAAGGCCAGGGACTTGAGAGGGTGAGGGAAGAGGGGGGGAAAAGGGAGGGAATGGGAAGTGAAAGGGAGTGTGGGAACTCGGGGTTTGGACAGAGCCCAGCGTGGGGCCAGAATCTGTAGTGATCGCTGGTGGAAGGTCAAGCCACAGTTATGAGCAGTGCATCCAAAGCTGCTGCGAGTGCCAGGGGAGGCCGGTACTCACCTCGCATGCCCCAGTTGACGGCGTTCATGCTGTCATAGTGGAAGAGGTCTGCACTGGGTGTCTGCAGGGGAGACAGAACCAGGGCTGGCCTGAGCAAGCTCACTGCTGCCTCCCTGAAGCATTCCCCCACCTCCCAAAAATGGCCCGGGGTGGATGGGACATGGCCCTTCTCAGAGAGCCTCGGTCTCAAGTCAGGGTGACCTAACTCACGGCCACGTCCCTGGTGCCTGGCAGTGGCACGCAGTAGGCACTCGATAAATACTCATTTCTTGGTGAACTACATTTCATGCTTTCTTTTGCTGCTCTAATACCACTTGTCCTATGAAATCTGCCCTGGCAGCTCTATTTAAAATTGCAAGGGGCTCCTGGGTGGCTCAGTTGGTTGAGCGGCTGTCTTCGGCTCAGGTCATGATCCTGGAGCCCCGGGATAGAGCCACACGGCAAGCTCCCTGCTCAACAGGGAGTCTGCTTCTCCCTCTCCCTCTGCCCCTCCTCCCTGCTCATGCCCTCTCTTTCTCACTCCAGTAAATAAATAAATAAAATCTTAAAAAAAAAATAAAATAAAATTGCATGTTGCCCCCTCCCCAAACTGCTAATCCCCCTTATCCTGCTCCACGTTTTCTTTTTTTTTTTTTCCCCTAGCACGTTATTACCTTCTACATTCTCTATAGTGTGACTTGCATACTATTTACTACTTGCTTTCTGTTTCTCTCTACAAGAATAGAAGCTCCAAGGGGCAGGGGTCACTGATGTATTCCAAGTACCCGGCGTATAGGAAAGCTTTCAATAAATATCTGTTGCATGAGCAAAAGTCATGTCTAGGGTCTGAGAGTGTGGAGCTAATGCTGGAATTGCTAACATCGTGGGGGCGACGGTCCCAGCACACCCTCTCTTACCCTGTGCAGCCCGTTCCTTCGGTAGGCAGGCAGGGAGGCGGATTTGGAGATGAGGGGATCTGAAAAGAAACAGCCAAACAATTCCCAGAAGCCCCAAGCCAGGGGTCCCTGTCCCGGATGCCGTCTGGCTGCACATGGCCAATACTGTTCCCCGACCCCGTGGGAAGTGGGAAGGGGCAGAGACCACCAGCTCCTCCCCCTGCACTATAGACACGCAACTGACCATCTCAGGGATGCCTCGCCCGGGCAGAACTCCAGGCCCGCCTGAAGCCCATGTGTGCAGTCTTGTGGCCTCACCCTGCACACATCTATGCTCCTGTGATGAACCCCTGTGTCCTGGCCACAGCTGGCTCTGGACAAAGGCCCTGGGATTTGGATTTGAGCTCAGAGCCCAGACAGGCAGGCTCCCAGGCAGGTGGAAGAGACGCATGTTCTTTCTCTCTGGGATCTATTGGGTATGGCAACCCTGGTTCCAGGACCAAAGATGGAGGTCTGTGTCTGACAAACACAATGGGGTGGGCCATTTGAGATCAGGACCGTGCTGGGACACCTCAGCTACAGGGGACCTGCAACCAGCTCGGCCCTGGCTCTCCCAGGACACGACAGTCTGAAGGTAGGGCAGGCAGAACCTACCGCTGTCAGCCAGGTAGTGGGACCGAGGGGCTGCAAGAGAGAAAAGCCAGGGGTCAGCGTTCATGGGGACAGATGGACATGGTGGAAAGTCCATGGGGACAGACAGACATGGCTCCCATTCCTGGGCTACCCTAGCTGGTGGAGAGGAGGAGCCTCCTTCACTACCTCCTTTCTCACCGGTCAGTTTCCAGTTGCTGCACCTGCACGGCATCGTCTCTCCCCTGCCCAGCACCTGGTGCAAAGCAGGTGCTCTGTGATATGTGCTGCATAGATGCCTTCGAACAGAACCAGACTTCGAGCAGCAGGTGCACTGCCCAGAGCCCAGAGCCAGGGGCTGAAAACTGCGCCCCTGGGGGGTCAAACAGGGGAACAGGCTCATCAATTTAGCCTGGCTCTGCCATTAATCGATACCTAACTTCTATATGTTACTCAATCGTGATTTGGTCTTCTCATAGTAAAATGGAGAGGGATAGTGTCTCCTCTATAGGGTTATTGTGAAGAATAAATGACACATAATACCATAAGGTATTAGCACAGTGTCCGACAACACACAAAACCCTCAATAAAACTGGCTTGATCATCTTTACCATCACCATCTTCAGTCTCACCTAAAGTCAAGGTGCAGTATGGGAAAGACGCAACAGCGTATGGCCTTGGAGTCCCTCTGACTTGGGCCTGATCCTGGCTCTTTCATTTACCAGCTTATTGACCTTGGGCAAGTAGTAAGCTCACGTCTCTCATCTATAAAGTGGGTGATAATAATCCCTCTATATTGCCAGTCTTTGTGAGGACCAAGAGTGATAATGTATTTACAAATGTCTGGCACAGAGGATTATCCATCAAGTATTGAGTTGAGATAGGATTTCCTGGCAGGACTGACTCCCACAGGGGTAAGGAAGGGAGGGAAGCATGTGTTTGTCCAGAAACAGGGAGAAGTTTACAATGAGAGGATCTCTGGGCAGAGTGTTTGCACCAAGCTTCTGCTTGTTTACCTCCTATGATGAGGGGCTCACTACCTCAAGAGCCAGTCCTTCATATCTTCGAGCCATTCAGGCTATTAGAAGACATTTTTCTTTACACTGAGCCTGACTAGAAGTCACAGCTTTCAGAACCCCAAAGGAACAAGTGCCTGCTCATGGCAGAATATGGTCTTACTTAGTGCCCCATACAGCACCTTGCCAAGTCCGTATTCTAGACCCAGGCAAGGCCACAGGAGTTCAGATTCTTTGAGGGAATTGAGAGGAAGTGCCCCCAGCCCAGCAGACTTCCAGGGTGGTGCTTACAGCCATTGAGGGACATCTCATAGCCAGCTGTGTGCAGGGCCTCCCGGCTGCTGGTGGAGCTCCGGGGTGGGGTCCAGGGATCCGCGTAGGAGCTGGACCGGGCCTTCATCTCCTCCTTCAGAATCAGGCGGCCGATTCCGCTCTGGAGCTGGGTGTGGGGGAGGAGCAAGATGAAGTGGGAAAGAAGCAGAGAACAGGAAACAGAACAGGCTTGGGACAAAGGCCGGGTGGCCAGATTCCGGGGAACCTCTGTCATTTTCGCCTTTCCAGCATCCCTCCCTCCCCGCAGCCTCACAGCTTCCTTTGGGACTTCGTCTCTCTTCACAAGTGGTCCTGTGCTCTGGGGAGTGGGAGGTGGGGCTGGTGGAGGGCACCAAAAGCTGGCCCGGCCCACAGCAGGTGGGTGGAAGGCTCCAGCCGGGCCAGGGAGGGCCTTCCTTGGGACTCTGGCTGTTGTTGCTGGCACCCATCTTTTTAAAAACACGTTTTATTGAGGTGAAATTCACATCAGATACAATTAACCACTTTAAAGTAAACGGTTCAGTGGCACTTAGTACAACCACCGCTGCTGTCTAGTTCCAAACAGTTTTTAACTCCTCCCCCAAAAGACCCTGGACCCAGGAAGCAGTCATTCCCTCTCTCCCTCCCCTGCCAGGCCCTGGTATTCACCAGCCTGTGTCTGGCTCTGTGGATTTACCTATTCTGCACATCTCGTATAAATGGAATCATCCATTATGTGGGCTTTTGTGTCTGGCTTCTTTCCCTCAACATAATGTCTTCAAGGTTCGTCCACATGGTGGCCTGTATCAGTCCTTCATTCCTTTTTATGTCTGGGTAACATTCCACTGCATGGATGCACCACATTTTGCTTCTCCACTTGTGAACAGATGGACATCTGGGTGATTTTCCCTTTTGGTTCTCGTGAGTAGTGCTGCTATGAAGATCATGGACGTGTGCTTGTTTGAGTCCTGGTTTTCAATTCTTCTGGGTAAATATTTCCCCAGGAGTGCAACTGCCGGGTCGCAGGGTAACTCTGTGTTTAACTTTCTGAGGAACTTGCAAACTGTTCTCCCTGGTGGCCACACCGTTTTCCACTCCCCCCAGCAGTGCACGAAAGCTGCCAGCACCCACTTGCCACCACAAAGGAACCTGCACGAGCATGAGGCCAACGCAGCAGCGAGCCAGCACAGGAGAAGAGAGAGACAACTTTCCTGTGGCAGTTTGCTGAGCAGCTGGATCTAGCCATACCTGAAACTCCTCCTACCGTTGGGACTTTTTGGTTATGCAGAGCTACAGGCTTCTTTTTTCTACCATAAGTGGGTTTGAATTTGGTTTCTGTCACTAGCAAATGATCAAACCCTCAGTGACACACTGTCTAGGCATCTCATCCAGGGTGGAGCCTGCTCACCTTATGCATGCTGCGGTCAAAATCGTCCTCCTCTCCTCCAGATGAGAACCTTCTGGCTCGGGGCACTGCCAAAAGACAGCTAGCATCAGCTCCCGCGTGTGCTCTCCACTCAGCCGGGCCCCGGCAGAGGACACAGAGGGACGCAGAGCCTCACAGGCAGGGGTTTCCTCTCGGCCCCGGCACTTTGTAGCCGAGTGGCCCTGAGCGAGTGTACTTTGGTGAACCACCCCTCCACCGGGGGCCTCCTGTATGGAAAGGCCCAGCAGCCCTTCCCTTTCTTGGGCATGAGGAGCAGGGGAAACTGACTGCCCAAACACGGCTAATGAGCCTCGATGTTGGGACTTTTGCTGTTGCTGGTGGGAGAGAGAAGTCCTCTTTCTGTCCAGGGTAGGATATTAAGCCTAGATGGGCTGGAGCTCATCTTGCCATGACCAGGGCAGGGCCATGCTGAGTACGGAGCCACCCCAGGGACAGGACACGCTCTGATGACGGCGGGCATTCACCTCTGCATCCAGCTGTGCCTCAAAAACTTTCACTCTCGTGACCCAGAAAATCCCTGTTTTGGCTTAAGTCAATTGGAGTTTTTTTTTTGGTTTGTTCTTTTGTGATTGAAACGGTGTAGGATACCTCTTCCCACCACGCCTCCGCCCCAAACACACATATCTCTCAGAGATCTCTGTCTATCTCGGGGTGTAGTTGTGCTTGTTTGTCTTAGCTCCTTTTCCAAATGCAGAATTTTTGGAGGGCAAGGAAGGGACCATCTCCGAGCTCCTGTGAAGCTTTGCTCAGAATGGACATTCAATTAGTAAAGGCTGTGTGCTGACTCAAAAAGGAGCTTGATGAAAATGCATCCCCGTGCTTAAAAGAAACAGCTTGAGATGCCTGACTGGGTGGGATGGCACCCCAAGGACCATGAAGACCCCATCAGGGTGCCTACGAGAGTCTTCCATCTCGCACAAACTGCCTTTTCTATCTTCCAAGCCGCTTTCCACCCCACAGCCAAAATGGTCTCTTAAACCCACACAGCTGAGCCTGTCACCTTCAGTGGCTTCCTACGGTTTAGGATAGAGACCCAAATCCTTGCTTCAGTGCACAAGGCCTTGTGGGATCTGGCCCCTCACCCCCCACCTGCTTCCCTTCCTCTCTGGCTCCCGGTTAAGCTGACAGCCTTTCTTTTCCTCCAGGGGAACCTGCCCTCCCACCCCGGGTCTTTGCAGATGTGATTCTATATTCTGCTGGCTTACCTCCGCCCCACTCTTCCTGTGGCAGCGGAGTCTCTGCCTTGAGAAGGTTCTGTCACATTCCAGGCTGGACAGCACGCCCCTGTCATCATCTCCCACCTCCTGTGTCACCTCCTTCCTGCACATCACCTCCCCCTCCAGCTGCAGCCTAGGTCTCCTCCACGAGGGCGAGGACCTGCTCTATTTTGCTTCGCGGTGACTCACTCGAGCCCAAGGCTGGCCCTCAGTACATGTTTGCTGAATGAATAAATGAACGACTGTATGAAGGAGGGGCAGCCGTCCTAACCGTGTGTCCCCGGCTCAGGTGACAGGGCTCTGGTCCAGGCTCCTCTGTGGGGTACATTACCTTTGGGGGACCCATGGTAGGTCCAGAACTCGGACTCTGCAGCATAGTAGGGGTCCGGTGAGTAGGCTGGACTGTACTTGGAGGCCTGGCTGATGTCTTCACTTGTTTTGCTCTTGGTTGCTGTTGACAGATCACCTGCAAAGGACCCAAGGAGAGAGCTTCAGGGAAGCAGAGTGTCCTAGAAGAGTGTGCTGTATACTTTTTACCTGCCTCGGCCAGGCTCCAGCCCAGGGGAGTGAGGACACTTTGAGGCCAGGGTCTGGGACTTGGAGCATCAGAGCTGGAATAGCCCTGAGGCCAAGCCCTTCATGTTACAGCTGGGAATCTGGACACCAGAGAGGGGAAGGGGCTTGCTGAAGACCACACGGCAAGTAGACCAGACTTGGACCAGACCCCAGCTCAGGGCTTCTGCTACCATATCTCATGGACCCCCAGGTCTGCTCCCAAGTGAACACTAAGGCCATGGCTCCTCCAAGTAAGATTAGACAGGTCCCAGGTGATCCCATGCCCTGACCTTCCTTAGCCTCTAAAAGCCTGTCTCGTTTGGGATTTGAGCCATACCTAGGGTGGAAATTGCCAAAGCGAGCCATGCGGCCTATCAACTTTCTCCTCGCACTGAAATGCCAAACCTTGCTTCGGGAGACGATATGGCCCAAAGAAAGGAGCACCGGACAGGGAACCAGCAATGCTGGGTTCTGGCCCCGGCTCTGCCACTTAGCTGTAACAATGGGCACATCCTGTCCCTCTCTGCCTCAGTTTCCTTATCAGTAAGTATCCGAACTGGTCTGCTGGGTCAGGTGCCACCCGGCTTCAAGCTTCCATGACATGGACCATCAGACCTACTGCAGACACAAAACCTTCTGGGGCAGTGACCTTAGCACAGCCTGAAGCCTGGCAAGAGGCTGACTGGGGCCAAGAGAGGGCTGGGGAAACAAGGGGGCCCCTGACATTTCTCAGGAGAGAAGGGACAGTCCCACACCCCGTGCAGCCAGAGCAGCAGAGGGTCCTGGGGTCGGCCCTTTGCCAGCTCCAGCCTGTGCGCCCTCCCCCAGCAGCACTGGCTTCCAAAGCTTCCAAAGCTTGCGGATTCTTAGACTTGGTCCTGGGCAGTCCCTCCCGCCCCAACTGATGTCATTCAGCCTTTTCAGGTGCCCGCTTATCCAGGCAATCTACCTCCTCCCCAACTCCTCCTGAGCCTGCTCTGGTGCTGCCCCTCAGAGCCCATCTGGAAAATCCCACACAGTCCAGAGGCGTTTGAGACTTGAGGGCCTCTTCTGGACAAACTGGCTTTGTCAGGGTCGGTACCTTTCTGTGGCCACTCGGGGTACATGGCTTGTCCTCAACAGCCACACAGATATACGCACGTGCACACAGACTCACCTGGAGCCCAGCCCGGGCCCCTCTGAAACTGAGGATGTTTGTCTAAATTGTCAGGTCTTAAGCTAGAGCCATCATTTATATTTGTATGGCCCCTCCGCCAGCTCGGTGAGCTCAGATCCCAGTACTGGGCTGTTTCCACCTGTGTTTCGGTGCTTCTCTGATTCTGCACTCCCCTCTGTTACCCAGGTAGCCTGCAGGCATGGGAGGGCGATACAGGGTAACTTCTGCACCTCTGCATCCTCAAGGCAAAGGGTGTGCTTTGTCAGCTGAGGCTCAGTAAGTGCGTTTGCAAGAAGGAACAGGGGGTCTCAGTGATGCCTGACTTGGTGGTTCTCATACGGAGCGCAGGTAGGAATCATGAATGAGGCCAGTTACCGTGTAGATTCCTAGGTCACACTCCCAGTTTTTCTAATAAGGAAGTCTAGGGCAGGGGAGGGGCCAGGGCACCTGCTTTTTAAATAAGTCTCTCAGGTACAGGGGTTCCATAGACCATTCTCGAAGAAACACTGAAGGAATGAATGGAAGAATGAAGGCACCCTCATCGAAGCCCTGCTCCTTTCTCATCCACATTTCCTCCCCAAGCCTTCATTTACTCTCATGACACCATGACGGAGAATAGCTTAGAGCAGTGGTTTCTAAGCTGGGCCGGGCTTTGGAATCACCTGGAGAAACTGTTACAAACACAAAATTGCGATGCAGTAGGTCTGGGGCAGGGTGCAGGAATCTGAATGTATCCTCCATGATTCTAATGACCGTCGAAATTTGAGCATCCATGCCTTGGAGTACTCCCAGTAGTCTGTGCATTTGACAAGCGTTACTCTGCCCGTGGAATTTAGGACACCAGACAGCAGGGAAGGGGGGTTGGAAAGGAGGTGGGAAAATATTTAGGTGACACGAGGCCTTCCTTGCTCTTTTGAAGTGACACCAAACTCCTCCCCAGTGTCACCGCAAGTGATTGGGGGGTAGCCACCAAGAAAGACCGAATTGCAGCCTTGCATGTGTCCCTCCTGGTGGCCCCTGTAGACCATCGGCACAGATGGTTAAAGGCCCCGCCCCCTGTCTGGCCACGCCCTCTCTGCCCGGACCGTACCATGCCGTTTGTAGATCGGGGGTTTCCGGTAGATGTTACTTTCTCCAGCTGCCAGGCAGACAAGGAAGGGACCATGGGGAGGAGAGAGAGAGAGAAACAGAGAGAGAGAGAGAGAGAGAGAGAGAAAGAAGGAGACAGCGGTTGGTCAGCTGATCTCAGAAAGAGAGGCAGTCAGCATCCTTCCCGAGGGTCCACCATCTTTTCCTGGTGGACATGCTCTTCCAAAACTCAACTTCCCACCTCAACCCGTGAGGTTCTAAGAAAGGTGAGAGGAGAGGAATGGATGGATTCTAACGGTGCTGAGGAAGGGACTCGGGCTTGAATGGTGGGCATGCAGGCACGAGGTGGTGTGTGCTCAGCAGGATCCCATGCAGGAAGGTGCCCCCTGCCTCCACCCAGCAGCCACGCCTCATTCCACATGGAAGTCCCCAGAATGCTGCAGCCGCTGGTTCAGCATGATCCGCCCCCCACTCCCTCAAAAATAGACAGGATGGGACCTTTCTGGGGCAGTTGAGAAAGGTATAGATGAAACAGCAGGATGAGTTCCTGGGGAAAAGCGAGTGGGGAGTAAAATCTGAGCTCAGAGTTGGGAGACCCGGTTCCAGGTCCGGCTCTGCTGAACTCAGGGTGAGACCCTGTCTAAACCATCTACAATGTCACCTAGCCCCTGCCTTCCTCTTACCTCCTATCACGCCCCCTCCTGCTCACCACTTCCAGCCACTGTGGACTGCTACCAGTTCTGTGTTTTAGGGCCTTTGCACTTGCTATGCCCTCTGCCCAGGATATTTTCCCTAGGATCTTCACATGGCTGGCTCCTTCTCATCTTTTGACCTCAATGTCGCCTCCTCCAAGAAGCCCTTCCTGACCACCCTACCTAGCCCAGCCTCCCCCACCCAGTCACTCCATCACAATGCCCTGTTTTATTATGTTTACTGCACATATCATTTACCTGAAATTACCCTTTTACTGGTTTGCGTACTCATTGATTAACTTTCTCCCCATGTATAAACACCATGAAGGGAGGATCTGGGCTAGTTTGAGCACATACGCAACCTCAGGGCGGAGAACAGTGCCTGGCTGTACAGAGAGAACAACAGAAAGGCTCAGGGAAGTTCAGGAACCAGCCCGAGGCCACAGGCTTCTAAGTGGTGGAATTGGGATTCGGTCCCAAGAGTTGTGATGCAAAAGTGCGTGACTTTCAGCACGCTTACTGCTGCATGCCATCAGGGCCCTCAGACATCTGAGGCACTTCTCCGGCTGCTTCCTGGCGGGCTTGATCAGGGCTGGCTGTGTCAAGTGGGTGGACTAAGGCCCACGGGCGTGTCGGGACTGCAGGGTGGGTTAGTGTGGGGGACTGGTTAGGGAGGGTCCCTCGCTGCTGGTGCCGGCGCCCAGCGACCCCACGGAGCATGCACCCATGCCCGGGATTGGGGGCTGGCAGCCTACCTGGGATGTGAAAGTGCTTGGGAGCCTGGTAAGAGGTCGGAGTGGAGGACCTCACATCTAACTGGCTATGGTATGGAGAGCTCCGGCCACTCTCGGGCCCTGGAGCGCGCAGGCAGTGGTCCCCAGAGAGAACAGAGGCACAGAGAAAACAGGCATTACCGCGGTGGCACTGAAGACAGCAGTGACATGACGACAGCAGGGATGGTAGGAAGGGGCTGTGCTCTCATGCACTGTGTCTGCACCAACAGGCTCGACCCGCCTTTCTGGCCTCACCCCGGCGTCAGAGTTCGTAGGTGCTAAGCATCAACTCCACCGGGCTTCAGGGAGGTGTCTTTGGACCCCTTGGCTCCCCACCACCCTCTCAATTGCTTCTTTTGTCCACCCAAGCACCTGCTTCACCCCTAACCTCCAGGCGGCTGTGGATGACCTGACCGGAGCGGGTAAGGCTGGGCCTGTTTCTGGTCCTCTGGCCCTCTGGCGGGGGCAGGCCAAAGGACACGGACAGAGGAGTCTTCTTCCAGCCCGGGCTGCTGGGCTGCCTGCCACCCTCCTCTCTTGGCAGCTCACCACCCATCTTCTTGCTGCTTCTCAGCTCCACGTGCCCCTTCTCTCCCCCGGCCAGGGGCATGTCAGTTAGGCCCGGCTGGTGACCTGGGTGGTCACAGGTCTCCAGAGGGCCCTGCTGTGACGGAGATCCAGGGGGAAGCCCTGGGTTGTCTCTGCAGCTGGCGACAGCCAGCCATTGCATGGTCCCCCTGGCTCTTCCTGTTCCTTTGGGGGCTTCCCCCTTCCTTACCGGAGCGGTAGTAGTGGTGAGGCGAGCGGGAAAAGGTGGGGGACATGCCCTGCCGGCTGTAGGTGGGGGAGTCGATGTATCCTGGGCTGGAGGCCCTTCTCTGTCGGAGGTCCAGGTTCTCGTAGATGTCCTGGGGGAGGAAGCAGCCCATGAGCCAGGCGGGCAATTAAGCAGGCCTGTGGCCCAAGGGTCTAGCGGGCAGGTGGGGGAGTGACGTGGAATCCAGGATTCTAGGGGGCTGAGGATCCAAATTCATGGTGCTGCCCTTCTGAATACCGAGGCACCCTCCCTGGGTTACACACATAGCCTGAGGAAAACTGCAGACAATCTTGGGGGCCTTCACCCATCACTCAGTCCCTTGAATAGAACCCGTGGGTCGGGCGCCTGGAATCCTGGCCAAGGATCCCAGGAGCATCAGGGAGGCTCCCTTTGGGTAGAAAAGGCACATCCTCTACCATTTAGCTACAGCCACTTCCTCCAGGTTGTGCTCCTAAGTCTCCCGTCTGTGCCCTGGTCGGGGAGCACCCTGGGGAGCTGGGGTGGGGGAGTGAAACCAGGGGTCTGCTACGGCCAGCATAAAGGGACACAATTACAGAAAAGGTCTCCCCGAACCAGCTCGATTACCTGGGAGTAGGGAGATAATGTTCCCAGCGACTTAGAAGCGAAGCGTTTGAAGGCCATCGTGGAAGAGGCAGAGGAGAGAGAGGAGGGAGAGAGGGAGAGGGGTTAGGTAGCTGAGCGGAGAGCGGGCCTGTAGCTGCTCCGGGGGCCCCCGTCCCCAGACAGCAGCGCTGCTGAGAGGTTGGAACACCAGCAGTGCCAACACACAGTAGGGAACGCTGAGATCATGCCCTTCGTTTACCAGTGGGAAACCAAGGCCCAGAGAGGGAACGGGGTGGCTTGGGGCCTCTCAGGTACAACGTGCTAGGGTCTTCACTTGGACCCAGGCTTCTGCACCACGAGCTCAGATCCTGCCCTGTCTCTCTACTAGTTCGTGACCCCTCTGTGGTTCATGAGGACAGTGTGCAGGCCCAGAGACCCGAATGTAGGGCCAACCAAGGGCCGGACTGCTGCCATCAATGTGGGAGTTGGGCCGGTGGGCGGTGCGGCAGGCTGGAGATGGAATGTTCCATCTGCAAAGGGCAGTGGCGGCCCAGCCCCTGGGACACCTGCCCAACAATAACATCGCTCCTTACATTTCCAAGACAAGTCAGAAATGCTGGTTCTTATGTGAAATCTCTGCATGTTTAAATGTTGGCAACTAATTTACATTTTTAAAAGATACTTAGTGAAACAAAACAAATCTGGGAGTTGGCTTTAGCCTGTGGGCCCAATGTGCTATTTATGGCTTCAGGAGCATCAGTCTCCACCTGGTCCCCCTGCCCTGGTCCATTTCGGGGGCCAGAGCCCCCGGACTCTCAGCATTGGGCTTTCCAACCAAATGAACCCTAATTCCTTTAGAGAGGAAAGGGACAGTGGTGGGGTGGGGACAAGAGCCTGGGTCCCTGCTCCCCAGGCCAGGGCTCCTTCTTTCAACAATCTTCGCTCAGGGGCCCTGAATGGGGTTAGGACTTGCCTGAGATATAGCCGGCCAGGACCTTCAGGGTAACGGCCACCTGCCTTCTCCAGAGAAGGCTTTCTCTTGTCCAGCAACCATTTAATTCTTTCAAAAGCCATCTGATGCTGAGTTCTTAAAAAGCGTCTCTTGCTTTGAACATAGGGGCTTAAGGTCAGGTGCAAAACCCAGAGAACCTACCTACCAGGGATTGTAAACCTAAATGGCCACTAAGCCTGTCAGGCATGAAAGCCATGGGCTGTGTATAAAATTACTCCACTAGAAGAAAAACAGTAATTCAAGTGATAAGTGGTCACAGGTTCTTGGCTTCAATGCTGGGGTTCTCAGGGGTGGTGGAAACGGGGGAGAACTGGGGAACCCGTGCCCTGCCTATAGGAGGCGCTGCTCCCCCCTCCGGATAGTGGAAATACACCTGCTCTGATTTTTCAAGAAAAGCCAGATTTTTGGGTGAAATCACTTGATTTTTAAATGTTGACTATAAATTCCAGTTTAAAAGAGTGCAGGGGCTGACACTGTGGAGGCCAAAGTGTCTGTGATGGGAGTGGCTGGGGACCGTGTGGGCCTTCTCTCCTCCAACAGCCCCGGAGAGAGGGGCAAGACGCCGTACCTCTCCATAGCCACATCTCTCCAGCATCTCGTCGGACGTGTATCTGGAATGAGGCTCGTAGGAAATGAGGTCGGGGCGTTGTACCTCGTAGATGGACTTAACCTTGGGGAGAGCTGCCAGGTCTTTGTAATTAAGGATCTCATTATCCACTTTAGCCTGGGGAAGAGGAAAGGTACAGGAAAGAGGCAGAGAGATAAGAGGGAAAAGAGAGAGGAAACAAAAACCAGGCACAGGGGGAATGAGCTTCTCCAGTTTCCACTAAAAACAGAATATTAGGATGGAAGATGCACAGAATGTTAGAATCAGGCAGGTCTTAGAGGCCATCCTTTCCAACAGGGCTCACACTGGTTGAGCGCATTTTATGTGTGAGGCCATGCACTTTGCAGGTATTGTCTCCTCCAAGTGTCCTGATGCCTCTGTGGAGTCAGTGTCAATGTTATTACTGTTTTCCAGGTGGGACTCAGATGGTTCTGCACTTTGTGCCACTTAGCCAGTAGGTTTGAATCCTGTCTGAACTACCCAGCCTGGGTGGGGACTGCCTTCCAACCCCAAGCAGGGAGGACATCTTCACTCACAGCTCCTTGAAGGTGATGGAGGTGGTAAAGACAGAATTAATCACAGAGAGTGAAACCCGAGCTAACATTTGGTGAGTACTTAGGATGAGGCAGACTCTGTCTGAAGTCCCTGGTAGGGATAGATACAACTCACGGTGCTACTTAGCGGGGCGCTAATACCATCTTCGTTTCTGAATAAGGAAACAGGCACAGAGAAGTCAATGAACTTGGCCAGGGTCACACAACTAATAAGTAGCACAATCAGAATTCAAGCCCAGCCAGTCTAGCCTGAGGACTTGCCTTCCCAGCGGCCCCTGCTGGCTTTGCAGTGTGGGGAGCTCACTGTCTTACAGCCGGCAGAGGGCTGCCCTCGGAAAGCAGGCCCCCCACATTGAATTGAGACAAGCCTCTACCTACTACCTGACCTTGGCTGAGTCCAGCCCTCTAGAACAGCATGGATTAAGAGACAGCTTCCCCTTGCATGGGACAGACCACTTCTCATGGCTCCCGAGGCCCTGTCCTTTCCATGTCTGCACCCTCCAGCTGCTCCCTCTGTGCCTGGCTTCTGCTGTGGTCAACCAGGATCTGTCCCCCCATAACTACTGTGACTTGCAAGGTCCTGACGTGAGATAGATTGAGAAGCCACTAGACAGAGACTCCAGGGAAACTGTATTATCCAAATAACATTCTTCCAGTGCCTGGGGGCCCAGGTGAGTCTCAAGGCCAAAACTACTGTCGAGAAAGCAACTTTCATAAAGACCTTACAAGCATTGCTATTCGAAACATATTCCAAGGCCCTTCCACCATTCTGTCCCCGTCCCAGCCCACTCTTGTTTGGACACTGTGCTGTTCATTCTCCATTGCCTCCAGATCCACCAAGCATTCCTCCTTGCCCTGATTTGGGCTCCGAGGCCCCATGGGCTGCATCAGAAGCTCCCTGGCTTTCAGCTGGGTGGGGCCAGTGGGGGGCACCTGCAGACTGGGGGGTGGTGGAGAGAGAGGTTGCGCACCTGTCCCCTGGCACTGCCCTGGCATCAGCGGCTGTGGTGGGCATGGTGCCCACCTGGGGCTGCCTTTCACAGCCCCAGCTTTTGCCAGACCTTCTCTTCAGGTCGAGGGTGGTGACAGTCCTGCTGTCGTAGACGCTGGATGCCGCACGGTGTCTTGTGGGTCCCCTAACCCAGCCTAGGCCTCTGTAAATGGTCCCTTCACAAAACCGTCCTCAGCAAAACTCTCAGAAGTGTGCCATCTCATTTCTGCCAGAGCCTGCCCGGGTCAGGCACCACTTCTGTGCCAATTTGGGCATGTGTGGGCCAAGGGAACCTTATGAGGAAGGTCCCCTTGCTGAAGTAACTGCTGCCTTTTGTCGCGGGATGTTAGGTCTCGACCTTGAGAGCTCTTGGCATCTTGCAAACTTGTCTCGACCCATCAATATTCCTCTCAGTGCTTTAGTCCAAACCTCAAAAATACTATATGTATATTTCTTCTTATAGCTACTATGTTTATAGGGTTATAAATGAGCTTTAGGTTTAGAGGCACAGTGACTGAACAGAGGCTTCCCAACATAATTAGCCAGGAAGGAAGGAAGAAAACACACGGAGCTGGTCGAAATCAAACCTCCTGAAGATGATTCTAGCAGTCAGTGGGGGGTGGGGCACAGTTTGAAAGAAACTGCCCCCCCTCCAGGTTCATTGATAATTCTATTTTTAATACCAAACCTCAGTATTTATGAAAATCAAACCCAGTACTCTACCTCTCTGCGTGTTACTGCATGTCCCAAAAGTGGTCGGATGGTTTCTTCCCTGAGTTTGGAAGCCATGTTTGGAATGGTCTGATTTCAAACATGGCCCACGTGACATGTGCGGTCATTTCCCCAGAGCAGCTGAAGGTGAGGTGGTATAACAGGCAAGACAGGAGAGTACAAGAAGGGAGACACATGCCCTTGGCAGCATTCACGGGTAGCTGAGCTCAGTGTACGAGCCCCCAGCTGGATGGTACAATGGCAGGTGTCCCCAGCTGCTCTTGTTCATCTCTATGGAGCTGACCCTCAGAGGGGCAGTCTTTCTCCAGGGTGGACATCATTCATCATTAGGGCTAACTTGTTTCACAAAGGTAGCAGGGAAGACCAGCCAGGGATTAAAGGCATCAGAGCACTGCCATATATGTATCCCAAGTTTGCACATCCTGGTAACTCTGCTGCAGACACGCTCACTTTGTTAATAACCTTCTCCCGGTGTAGGCCCTGAAATTTAGCTCATTAATCCTGCTGTGTCTGGCCCCATTCATAGCACTGAGGGGATAATCGTCTGTTTTTTTTCGGGACAGAAATCTTCAATGAGGATGGCCTGTGATCAAAGTGCATGTCTTCTGTGGGAGCCGCAAGGCAGTATTGACCATATGGAAGTTGCTGTCAAAGATAACTCTTATGTCTGATTTTCATTTGAACAGAGGAGGAAAGGCAAGGAAAGAGCCTCATTAGTGGGCATTATCCAGGGATCAAGGAGGAAACTGGATGTAGATTTGGGGTAAAATTATAATGGAGCAATGGTGGTCAGGGCCCACCCAGGGCTGACTGGTTTGGGGACTGTATCTAGAACTTCTTATCAGGAGCAGTCTTCCTGCTCTAGACCATTCCCCTCCCTCCACCCCTCCACCCAATTTTGGTCTTCTTGGCCCCTCCAGCTTGGGGAAGGCTGGAAGAGTCCACAGTCAGATGGCTCATCTCCTTTGCTCATCTCTGTCCTCCCTGGCTCTGCCTCCCTCACCTGCTTTAACTTACTTCTGTTTCTCTCTCAGGTCTGAGCGTAAATGTTTCCTCCTCAGGATTCTTCTTACAGTTGGCCCTAGACTATCTGTCCCTCTGTCCATCTGCAGCCTCATTAGAGTGCCCTGCACGTTTTCTTCCTAGCACTTACCAGAACTGGGACTGCTTATCCATGGGTTATGTGGATAACACATATTCAATGTCATGAGGTGGTTCACCACCATTTTCCAGCACAGAAGCCAGCACTTAGCCCAGAGGAGACACTTAGCACACATTTGTTGAATGAATGAATGAATGAATGAATGAATGAATGAAATATCCAAAGGACCTCTGAGGTCATCTGACTCAACTCTTGTCCTTTCTGCCATGTCTCTGCAAATGATGAGTGTCTTTGTTTGAATGCCTCTGAGGATGGGAGCTCAGATACATGCCTGTGGTCTTCTCTGTCTCTGAACTTATGTCACTAGAAAGCTCTTCTTTACATTTGCAACTTCTTTATGCCGTGTTTCCATATTCATACGGCTTCTTCTTCCATTCTGCCTTCTTATCACACACCCCTATCTCTACATTGACGTCCCACCCAGTTTCCACTCTGAATACCACTCTGACCCCAGAGTTTTGTCCCACTATTAGCTCAGTTAAGCAGTGGGAAGGAGGCACATTGCGATGGTTTCAGAGCTCACCAGGGGCTCTTCTGTCTTTGACTTTTCTGTGCTCCTGTTAAACTTGACATTATCCCCGTAGCTCTGTGTTTACTAGGCTCTGTGCTCCATGCGGGCAGGGTCCACGTCCTCCCTGTGCCCCACTGTGTCCCCAGGACTTAGCACAGAGTCTCTAGCACATGACAGACACACACGAGATATTAGTTGGATGAAAACCTGACAGCTGTCTTTGGCTGTCCTTAGAAACTCTTTAGGTAGCAGACCTATGGATAAGAAAGGCCTCTGGCTGGCTGAAAATTGATACATACGCAGATGACTCGGTTGGGTGACCCAATGCTGGATCCAGGGGGTGAGATGGAAGTTTCGGACGTCCGCCTATGCTGTGGGAGAGACCAGACAGAAGGAATGAGAAGCTGTACCTCCAGCCGGTGGGGAGGGGAGGAGGGGCGGGGAGGAAGAAGGCAGCTCTGTAGGGAACAGCGACAACACGGTTAAATACACGTGCTGGCTTTCTGTACTTTCTCTTTATTTTCTGCCTTTGTAATCAATGTCTGAGTGTGAATGAAATTGGAAATGCACAGGACTTCAGGCTGTTGGACAGAATTTGGATTTGTGGGTTTTTTTTTTTTACATATTTGTAATTGGCCTTTTAGATAGGCATTTATTCATAAAACTTTTCATTTGGGGTTATCCTGCCAATAATGTATTTACTTTAACGGGAATAAAATTGGTTAGTACTCATTCCTTAGCAGTTTGTTTATATAAAATGTACAAGCAGGTTAAACTTCCTGTAATTGCATAAAGTACTGATTCTTTACAGTGTATCCCTTGCAAATTGACATCAGCCTAAGCGATAAACTTAAAAAATGTTTCCCTGAACAATGGCAACGATGCGTTAATGGCTCCCTCGGCAGAAGGAGGGACTATGTCGACCTTCCTGCAAGCTGCGAGAGTGACAGAGTGACGGCATGCTGTAGTCAAAAAGCAAACAGCCTGGGAACTGAGGGCCCCTAGTGAACTATGTGATTTTAGAGATCCCAGATTCCCAATCTGTAAAATGAAGGGGCTGGTCTGAAGGACTGCAAAATTGCTGGAGGATCTCTCAGGCCACAATTTAGAATTAAAGCATTCTACCTGGGGCTCTAGAGCAGTGTCCCCTAAACTGTGCATTGTGAACTGGTGCTGATTCTGGCAAGATGAATTTAGGGGGAGCATTTGATGACACTGAGTTGCAAAATGGGAGAGTAAAACGTAAAATTGTATTTGATTTCTCTTTGTTGAATCAAGGAGGAAGTCTTAACTTAGTGCTGATGTATTTCAGCAACTTTCTCAACAGCTGTTCATTTCCTTTTTTTTTTTAATAAAGAGAATAGAGGCAACACCATCTAGCTGGAGTCTCTAAGATTTATTTTTAAGAAACATTTCCTTTTCATTGAATGTATTTTATGGTTACCTTCTATTTATAGCAAGTAATACTGGCTTTCTACTTGGCGATATAAAGTTTTATTTTAAAATAAGTTCCGTTAAGTGAAGAGTAGTGGGTTGACTTAAAGAAGAATATTAAGTATGTAATGATACAGGGGGTGCACAGAGGTGGCAAAAACATCAGGGTTGTAGAAGGATAACTGAATTTGAGAAATGCCACCAAAAAGGTAGAAATTGAGGAAAGAAAGGTCAGTTAGGTCTTTTTACATCTTAAATGGAGAGGACTTGGAAGAAACAGGGGGAAAAAAGCCCTCACGGCTCAAACAAAATTATACATCAATAGACCAGTTCTTCTGCAAAATGTAGAGGCACTTCGGACGTCATCAAGTGCCTGTCCCCAGCATGTACCCAGCTTTCTGCTTCACAGAGTCAAGGACTCAGGAGCGGGGCTCCTCCCTGCCGTCCTTGGATCAAGAACCGGGATTCACAGGACCTCTTGGTACTAGTCAGAGCGCAGTAATTCAGCGGGACGCAGGACCGCAGGTGGCCCAGCGTGTGCCTGGGGACACTGGCCGCGCTCTTGCCCGCTGTATTACTGTAGGCAAATCACCACCCTCTTTAGACTTCGAATTTCTCACCAGCAAAGAGAAGATACAATTCCTTGCCCCATCCGATCCACAGGCTTAAAGCAAGCAAATCCGACAGTGGCTGTGAAGATGCTTTACATACTATCAATTCCTGTATCCACGCTATTATTCCTAATAAATGACGTGAGGCTGGGGAAAACCCCCAGTGTGTCAGCTTCAACGAGGCCTCTTGGTGAGCAACGCTAAGGCGAGAGCCTGGCCCCAGAAATGCTAAAAACTCACAGTTTTACAGTTTTCAAAGTGCTCTCCCATCCAATGTCTTTATCGCCTTAAATGCCCCACGAGGCAGGTGTTACCATTAAGGAAATCTAAGGATACGGGCACACATCTGGAAGTGTGCATACCAAGGAAAGACTCCCTACTAAAGCACAGTGCCCCCAACCAAGTGGCAAAAAGTGTGGTCTGATATCACTACCAGCTTGCTTACCTTTAACTTCTTCTCTGCCCGGGCTGCCTGTTTGCAGATGGGGTGCCAAACCTCAGAACCTACGGGCCAGCAAAATAACAAAGGCTCAGACCTTTCACATCTAGTAGCTCTCTCGTCACCCCTCACCTCTGTTTACTCCCTCGGCAGCACATCTGCCCTACACAGCAGCCAGGAGGACCCGCCTCCGGTGACCCAGGCTCTATGCTGCTCCATCGATCAACCACTCCCGCTCCTTCTGCCGGTCCAAATCCTACCCATTCCTCAAGGAGGTCCAGATCTCACACGGCATCTTCTTGCAACCTTTCTTACCTGCCAACAGGGAGTGACTTCTCTTTTCTCTGCGGTCCATAGTTCTTTGTATCTTTCTTAACACATACGACCTCAAATCACAGTGGCTTGTGGATTCATGACCCTAACTAAATTAGAAGCTCCTCCGGGCAGGGGCTGAGCTTTATTCATTGCTGGCTCTCCTGTAGCATCCAGCATGGGATCTTGCTGTCAGCAGAGGCCCCATCCATGTTTGTGGGGTGAACAGATGAGTGGATGATTGGCAGTGAGTGACACGTAGCAGGTGGTCAATAAATACTTGTTGAATGAATGAATGGCAGTAGAGGTGAAATAAAGCGACAGACCATGGTGACCTCCAGCCTTCCTTTCCCTTCAAAGACTTCTGACAGTGTACAAGAGCTGTCATACTGAAGGGGGGAGGTGTCATGATGTATAGTCTGCTTGAGGGCACTGTCTTGAACTGCTAATTCCTAAGAGGCTCCAGACTCTTCAAATTTAGTATATTGCAAATGCCTGCATTTTACTGTCTGTGTGTGTGTGTTGGGGGGGTTGTCCAGTTGGCCAGCCCCAAACTCGAGAGGCCAATTTGGAAAGGCATGAGCAACAGGTGGCTGGTCACATGTTGAGAAGAAGCCCCAAATATTACACATTCCCCAAAGAAGAAACAGGTGTCCTGGATTAGAAGGAAAAGTAGGAACATATTATCCCTCTGGTGCCATTGCTCTGATTACCAGCCCGAAAAGGAAAGGAGCCAGCAAATGGCTGGATTCCTGAGCACCCAGATGGTATTTGTTTGTCTGACTTTGTTTTTAGGATATACTTTCCATTATGGTTTGTTGCCTGGAACCCCCGGGACTGGAATGCTGGCCAAGTGATGGGGGTGGTGGTGTAAAGTTGAAAAATCAGCCCCCGAAACGTGATGCAGAGAGGATAGGCCCGAGGTAAGGAGCATGGGATCTTGTTTCTGGAGCCTGGATTCTTGCCTCTGCTTGGCCCCTAACACATTCTCTCTTGCATCCCGGTTTCTTCATTGGAATAACAATGAGGTGGGATTGAGACAGTCTTGGAGGTTGTTTTCATCTCCAAATTTTTTTTTTTTTTTTGAGAGAATGAGACAGAGACCATGAGAGGGAGGAGGGTCAGAGGGAGAAGCAGACTCCCTGCCGAGCAGGGAGCCCGATGTAGGACTCGATCCCGGGACTCCAGGATCATGACCTGAGCCGAAGGCAGTTGCTTAACCAACTGAGCCACCCAGGCGCCCTCATCTCCAAATTTTTAATTCTAGTCCTAGTTTGTCATTTATGAGATAGATAGGGATCTTTCAGTTTCGTTGGCTGATTTTCTTGTGAGCTCCTAGTAATTCAACATGAGTTTAATGCTTGCTAAGGTAAAGTGCAATGGTTCTCGGAGCCCAGTAGAGGGACTCCAGGACTGCGGCTCCGGCGAGCCTGGCCGTCACAGGGTGTGTCTGCTCCCAAGCGGTGGGTGGGGATCCTTGCTTTGGGGAGTTTTCGAGAGAGAGCATTTCCGGGTCCCGGGATGCTGCCGAATCCACCAGGAGCTGTTTATCCCCTTGGCTCTGGCAGGAAGCCTATGTCACAGGTCACTGTCGGCAACGGATGAGGGGGATACAGATGTCTAAGAAGGTCGTAAGATGAAGAGAAAGAGGCATATGAAGGGCAAGGGTCAGGCAGAAGTCCTCATGGGGGGGGGATATGATGTGTAAAGAGAGGAGGTCAGACTCGATGGTCTCTCCACGCTGCTCACATAATCTGTTCTGAAATAAAGCTGAGCCGCAAATGGCTTCAGCACTCAGCTCACAGGAAAGCAGGTTTATAGAAGAAGTGAGGGGGGAGAATCAAAAGGGAGAAAGAAAATATAATTAGAGATGAAAAGAAATCAGAAGTTTGGGAGTTGGCAGGATAGCATCTAAACTAAAGAGGGAAGGAATCTGTTGGTTGTGAGCAACAGACTTAGGTAAATTAAGGTAAGAAAAGGTGATCTGTTCATGAAGACCCCTAGGAAATGGTGGTTGGCTGAGCTTTTGCACTAGCCACTAGCTCAACGACATGCCACAGACAGACAGCATCCAGAGTTACTCTCTTCCATGCACTTTCTCCCCAGAGCTTAAGATAGCACTTGGCTCAAGTGTGTTTCCTAAAGACATAAATGAATGGCTGGTTGGATCCCACCTCTGTATTTTCTTTTTTTCTAAAAAAGGATTTTATTTATTTACGAGAGAGACAGAGACAGAAAGAGAGAATCTCAGGCAGACTCTGTGCTAGCGTGGAGCCTGACTTGGGGCTCAATCTCATGACCCTGAAATCATGACCCCAGCTGAAACCGAGTCAGACGCTTAACAGACTGAGCCACCCAGGTGCTCCCACCTCTGTATTTTAAAAAGAGACACAGGATGAAAGGCACCCAGAGGATGATGGTAACCAGGATGGAGAGGGGACCTAAAATGAGGCCGTAAGGCTGGGTCTTCACCATGGAGAAGAGAAGACTTAGCAGAATAGTGAAAAAGGGTTTTGAGTATTTTAATGCCTCTCTGCGGGAAGAGCAATGAACTTGTTCTGCATGTCTTGTAACATAGAACAAGGACCAAGGGCAGAAGTTTCAGGGAAAGAAAATTCAATGTCTGAGGAGTGAATGGGTCCATTCTGAGAGTGAGCTCCCTGTCCCTGGAAGTATGTAAGTACACATTGGGTGGATACATGCTCAGCAAGGATATTATAGAGGAGACATATAATGAGGTATTTACGCTAATGGATGTTTACTTTCTCTCCCAACTCTTGGAGATTCTGTGTTTTCATCTTCACAGATTTCTCTGTATAGAAAAAAATGAATTATTTGCCCCTATCCAATGAATTAGCCTGGAATGTAAGTTCTATAAGGAGCGGGATTCACCTCTGTCTTATCTGCAGATACAGCTGCAGGGACTGCAGATTCTCAATAAATACTCATGGAGTGAATGAATAAAACAAAAGAAACATGTTATTCTGTTTTAGGCCAGTTGAGTTCTCCAAGCTGGGCTCAGCGATTTGGACAAGCAGTACAATCTAGACTCTGATTTGACGGCTACAATTTCAGAGTGAGTTTCTATCAGAATATTCACTAGACTGGGGTCTGTCCAAGTGTGAGCTGTGGCCCAGTTGTCCAGAAGCCTGGTAAAACGCAGATTCCTGGGCTCCCATGGAGCCCCTGAAGTCACCTCCTGGGGGCGGGGCCTGAGAATCTGTGATACTAACAAGCTCCTGGGTGACTTAGGACTCCAAAGTGGAGAACCACGGGGCTGAATACTAGTTAACACTTCAACTTCGTTCCTTTGGAATGTGATGGGATAAAGAAACCAATTGTATAAGACAGAAGAACATTTTAATTTCTTGTAGGAAGTCAACCCTTTTGTCTGGTTAGACTCCTGGTTCCGTGAGTCATACCCTTGTCCTCTGAGACTGTCCTGGACAGTTCCAGGTCCTGTGGTTAAAACCTCCTGTTAAAGTTATGGAGTGAAGGGATTAGCTATTTCCATGTGAGCTGACTCAGAGGCCGAGATGGGAATCTGCAAAGCTGTCCCTCAGCCGGTGGTAAGGCTCTTCTTAATTCCTAGCAGAGGCAGCATCAGCCTTTTCTCTCCGACTGGTCACAGCACACCGCACATTTTGGGTCATTTTTGGGGGTTCTTTAATGTTTGGGGACCCACCCATCTCTCTGCTGGACCTTGAAGTTCAATTTGCCAACTTTTTTTTTTTTTTTTGCATTAGTGGAGATTTTGATGCCGAAGCCAGACCTGGCACCACAGTCTTCCAGACCACCCAGCCAGGGTTGCAAACACAGCAGTGACTGAAACCGGCCCACCCAAAGGTTCTATTTGCCCAGCACAGCGTTTTTCAGTATCTGAATGCTTTTAGACCCTGCAGATGACCAGTGACCCTCCCTGCTGTCTGCCTCCCGGCCCTTCTCGTCCCTTTCAGCAGGCATTTGGGTTTGCAAACCCGGATGCTAGCCAGGGTGTTCTCTCACAGCAGGTTTCTTCCCTGGATTTCTCTTGACCACAGCACGGTGAGGTTTCTCAAAGTTCTGCCTGTATGTCAGCAGCACAGCCTCTGTGACCTAGACTTGCTAGGAGCTTGGAATGGTTCTTTTAAAATCCCTGCCTGGACAGACAAATGTGCTGTATCCACACAGTGGAATAGCATTCAGCCATACAAAGGAATGAAACACTGATACATGTGACAACATGGATGGATCTAGAAACCATTATGCTATGCTAAAGCAAAAGAAGCCAGACATAAAAGCCTATGTATTATAGGATTCCGTCGATATGAAATTTCCCAAATGGGCAAACTATAGAGAAAGATAGCAGATTCGAAGTTGCCAGGCTCTACGGGGAGGGGGAATGGGAAGAGTTTAATGGGTATGGGTTTCCTTTTGGGGTGAAAAAAATTTTTTTAAGATTTTATTTATTTATTTGACAGAGAGAGACACATCGAGAGAGGGAACACAAGCAGGGGGAGCGGGAGAGGGAGAAGCAGGCTTCCCGCT